CCCCCCCCCCCCCCCCCCCCGGTGATATGCAGATCGGGTAGTGGCCAAATAGCATACTGACGTTCAGAGCTTGGGTTTCCGAGAAGGGCTCCTTGTAAGACGCGTCCCACATGGTGCTTACATTCTTGAAGCTTCCGTGTCCTTTCCCATCGTCGCATATGCCACGGGACCCTCCCTGTATCAGAGGTCAGTTGAGGACATGGAGGACTCGGAGGAAGCAGCAGAAGGACATCGAGTTCTTGCCGAGGAGCTGGTGCTGCAGGCCTGGGAGTTCTCCAATAGTCTCATCTGCGATACTACTCTGTTTTGCCAGATAGAAGTTATGACTATTACCAGTAGAAGGCGGAAGGGTTTAACCCAGAGCGAACTACAGCTCAAGCAGAGTCGGCGCTGGGCTTTGGCACTTCGGGACCGGACGTGGCATGCATCTGAACCTCAACCGGTTGAGCGCCCTCACCGAGGTTGTGCAGTCTGCAGGAATCTAAACGTCAACCGATTCAGTAGAACCGGGCACGATCGGGCATAGTTGGATTCATGAGCTCGCAGATGGATGGGTGAGGCTTAGGTCGGAACCAGCTGCTGGGGTGTTCGACCGCAGATTTCGCAACTCAATGCTTGGCATGTGGATCTCGGGCGGTTTAGGAGGGCGGCTGGAACAAGGCCACAACAAAAACAAGCTCACTGCCAAAACAGATCACTGCCTGCGAGATTCCACCTGGGGTTTTGAGGTGTCCACAACCGGCATCAGAATGCGGTTACACTCGGAGTTAGGGTCTTATTGATGTGCATTTTATCTCTTCATGTGTACTTCCCTGATTCAGCATCCACACGGAGATGATGTGTATGTGCAAGTTACCACTCTCGCGAGTCGTTGTATTTACTCTTTAGCATTCATCATTGCTTGGTCTTTGTGAGAATCTTTTCTGGCATATTGGTGTCTGCCCGGTTGTTGTGACTGTTTGTTGCAGTTGATTAGGTAGATAGATAGATGGATAAATAGATAGACCGACAGACAGATAGACAGATGGATCGATAGGTAGGTAAACAGGTAGATAGATAGATGGACAGATAGTTAGGTAGATATGTAGATAGGTAGATAGGTTGACAGATAGATAGAAAGATTTACAAGTAGGTAGATAGATCGTTAAATAGATAGACAGATAGACAGATACACAGATAGACAGGTAGGTAGGTAGGTAGGTAGGTAGGTAGGTAGGTAGGTAGGTAGACAGGTAGATAGATGGACGGATAAATAGACAGATAGGTAGGTAGATAGATAGATAAACAGATAGAGACATAGATAGATAGAATGATAGAAGTCTGCTGTCCTTCTCTGCAGCCGTTTACTTGAGTCCGCTACAACATCTTTAAAGTTGTTCTTTGTGTTATACGAGCACTGAGGACCATAACAGTCCTCAGGGGTAATACGTGAACCAAACAACAATACACAATCTTGCTGGCACAACGTAAACCGTCAGAAATACCTAGCACTAAAACGTCGTGGACGTACATACATGACAACCAAGATCGGCATCACCAACAGGAGCAGAACTCTATCTACCTACCTACCTGGCTACCTATCTGTCTGTCTATCTGTCTATTTGTCGGTTTGCCTGTCCGTCTATTTATCTAGGTATCTATCTGTTTCTCTACCTACCTATCCACCACCTACCTATCTATCTGTCTATCTATCTATCTGTTTATCTGTCTCTCTATCTATCTACCTATCTACCTAACTATCTGTCCATCTATCTATCTATCTATCTACCTATCTACCTATCTGCCGATCTACCTATCTACCTATCTACCTACCTGGTCACACGTTGGTAAGGTACCGCAGGGTTTTCGGAAGCCAGGTTTATGTGGAATGGGCTCTTGACCCACACCTTCCAGCAAAGTCAAGAGAGTGCAGATATGCTTGTGAGAATGACTTTCATGGACCATGTAACCTTGAAACTTAGGGCGTCGCACTTTTTTTTCTACACAGCTCTTGAATGTCACTCTCAGAGGCATGTCTGCGCTGTCTTGACTGTCTTGACTTTTGCTGGCAGCATGGGTTCAAAGCCCTCTTGTCCTTCCTCATAATCCTGGCTTCCCCAAACCCGAGCACTGTCTTGACTTTTTGCTGGCAGGTGTTGGTTCAAAGCCCATTTTTCAGACAAAGTTGGCGGCACCAGAACGAAATCAGCCTTCCGCCCCACCCCACCCCCCCAACCCCCCTTGCCCAAGTAAAATTAAGTAAAGTCCGATCCTGGTAACTTACCTATGTGTCGGGCCCTATCTATCTATCCATTTTGTCTGTCTGTCAGTCGGTCGGTCGGTCGGTCTGCCTGTCTGTCTGTCTGTCTGTCTGTCTGTCTGTCTGTCTGTCTGTCGGCCTGTCGGTTTTTCGGACTGTCGGTCTTTCGGTCTCGCGGTCGGTCAGTCTGCCTGTCTGTCCGTCTGTCGGTCTTTGGTCTTCTTACTATCACTTGTGCATTCTTTCATTCCTATTGTTGTTGCACATAGGTAAATGTCATAGGTGGTGTGGCTTCGGAGTCTTGCTCCCACGGTTCGTGTTGGGGATGTTGTGATGATGATAATGATTTTATGTGTTCTCATGAATGGGTTGGCTAATGGTGCAGTGATCATTGCATATTTGTCGTTATCAGGACTGTATGCTAGCGACTCTTGCTTGTGACTGCAGTGATGACGGTTCATGTTACGGCTGTTTGGCTCAATTCGAGTTTCTTTTCGACTTTGTCGTGCTCCTAATGTGCCTATGTGCCCTTCCTGCCGGCAGGCTATGACTGGACAAGTGGCCACCCACAAGCTACGAGCAGCTGTGGAAGTGGTGAGCTGAAGAGCTGAATGTTCCGGTGACACTCTTTGGTTTACTAAACGGACACTCCGAGGAAGCTTTAGAGTGGTCTCCTGATTTCGATCGGCTGGAGGGCTGCAGCCCGAGCGATGCATGCCGTTGTCACGGTGTGGGCAGGTAGATTCGATTCATGTGCTGCAGGTGCGAAGAAGGTTCTTGCAAAGGAGGAGAAGCAAGATGCTGCACGAGCTGCAATGCAAGGCCTCACCATATGTGAACTCGCATTGAGCAGCGCCTTGCCAAGAGATTGAAGAGCAGGTGCTCTAATTACAAGAGATCCGACAGAGCTCGCCGCTGCCATCAGGCCGGAAGACCAGCGCATAATTTCTAGACACCTTTCTGTTCAGCTCCAGGCACGGCAGAGAGGCCGGACTGGAGGCAGTGATTCCAGTGGTGCCGGTGCTAAATGTCTTTGATGTTGCAATTTCTCTTCGAGCATTGTCGGTGTTCCTGTCTCGGGTGAGATTCGACTAGCTTTTGGATTCTGGAGAGCTCTGACAGAAGCCGACAAAGTGGATTCGGGTTTTTTCCGGACACCAGAACGCAGTCACGGATTCCGTGCTCTCGGTTTCGTGGCATGAGAAGACACAAAGTTCGACTTCGTGGTTCTTTGTCCAATGCCAGGTCTGAAAATGACAAGACTGAACGATTCAGGTCGATTGTAGTGTGGGTCGCTCATCGCTTCGATGCTAGAAGCATGCATCCTCCAAAGTCATCTTCTCCTTGTCTTTCCAGTGGCATATGTTTGCAACAGAGTGGCGTCGTAAGGATTGTTCACCTGCTTGACGATGCCATTGACATCGGGTCCAGTCGTTCATTGGAAGCTCTGTGCTTGTCTGTTTCGGTCAGGATTGGGAAATGAGACGTGTTGCGCCGGTCTCAGACATGAGGAGCAAGCTGGTTCACACAAAGCGGACACTGCCGAGCAAGGAAAAGGCACTTGATGCAATCCGGCGTGACCTCATCGATGATTCTTCCCGCTAGCGGAGCTTTGGAAGCTCACTTCTGTGAAAAGCGCTGTCGGGGCTCCTCCGTAGCGAGGGCAGCCTCAGTTAACGACTCGAGTTTCACAAGTCTCGGTGGGCTTGATACGGTGCCTGTGCGTGCACTCGCACCGCGTAGAACGTCTGCCTGCGAAAAAGTCTCGTGACACCACTGGTGGACTTGAAACTTAACTAACCTAGTTTTATCGCTAACGCGAGGCCGCCTCGGCAACGGTAGTCGAGGCTAGGTTCGGGAGCGAAGGGACAAGGTGCATGAACACCCCATCTCAAACAACCCCCCTCCCTCCCTTCCCCTCCCCCACCGAAAACCAGCGAAATTGGAGCCTGCCCCCACCCTCCCCCGCGCCCTCCCCCCCCTTCCCCCCCTCCCCCCCAAAAAAAAGCAGCGAAATTGGAGCCGACCGGCATCGCGCCACTGGGAGCTCTACTACAACCACCCAAACTCCCCGAACCCACGGATCAAAACGCCTGGGGCCTCCGGCCTCGGCGGACTCCAGACACAGCCTCGAAGAGCAAGGCAGCAAGCTGGTGTGTGGCAGCATTTTGGCCTCAGAACCTTCAGACTTTAGACGGAGCTCTCCCTCCGAAGCGACATGGGTGGAAGTGGAAGCAAGGTCGCGCACTGAGGATGGCGAGCGCACTAACGCTTGTCAAGGCAGATGACATGATCTGCGGGCAGGTTACTTGGAAGCACAATGTTCCATCTCCAGCAGATCCATCGCTGAAAAGCGTTATGTCCGAACCGCTGGATGAGTGCCGGCCTCTGCTGGCGCTACTGCGTACTGGCTCCGTGCGAATGTCCTAATGCATGCTGACTTTGATGGCAGTGCTACCAAGGGTCAAGTTCTCTGACGAAGCCTTTTGGTGCTTACGTCCTGTTTGCTGCAGTGGCTGGACCCATCATCCTACTGCACTACATGGTGTACCTGTGCGTGTAGCCCTATCCGAAGATGTCTAGTAACATTAATCTGGACAACCTACAAGCAGAAATGTAGCCAGGAAGCATCTTGGAGCCTTGAAGCGAGAGCCCCTGCCAGTGCCGCATTCCCAGACTCGATGTGTAGCTTTCGACATGTTGGCACTGCCGTGGCGCTGCATGCATGAGGCCTTTGTTTGCGAAAGCACTCGGTGTGCACGTGGCCAAACACGAGGTTACTGCCAGTCTCCCAGCATCTGCAGTACCTGCTGCAATCTAAAACTGATTCGGGACGGAGTAGACAGCTTTGTTTGCAAGGACAGAGACGATGGGACCTTCTTGGTGACAACAACTATCGGTGGATACTATGGTGGCGAGTGCGCGTCTCAGTAACTTCTTGTCCATCGACCTGGCCTTAAGCACAGACTGCTTGTTTCCTGTGCTGAACAGTGACTGCAGGCTTAGTGGACTTGTTCTTCCTTGTGAGACGAGAGAATATGCGGGGTGTGTTCGTGCGTCATGCAGTGATGCAGACTTCAGGGTGGATGTGAATTTCGTTCACAGCTACGATCCAGACACGAACACTTGGGTCGCCTCCCAAGCACTGCCACATGTTGTCAATGTAGCAGAGTGACTCAGCCTGACGACTGAGATGCAGAAATGCGATCGAGACCCTGGTCTCCAGAAAGTCAGCAATGCCGTGGGATTTCGGCGCCATACTCGGACATCAATCTCTTTCTCGACAGCGTTTCTCTATGTCACGCACATGCACGCACACACATAGACTTGGAGATGGATCTCGATTGCAACGGGTTACATGCGTGTCTGCAAAGTGGGGGATTCGGAAGGGGCGCAGGGTGATGCGATCATATGTGTGAGGCTTCACGAGTCTCCTCGCACCGTCCCAGCCTCGGGGGACAACGCGACATGGGTTTTGGGGTTGAGGGTTTGGCAGTGCGCTCAGCTCTTCGCATCATGTTTTCGACGCCGCGTTTCCATCCTGCTTCCGCAGATTGAAATGTGGGCTGTGAACGAGCCCGCACGCAACTCTGGTGTCGAGGCAGGGCAGCAGAAACACCAGCTGGAGTGCCAAAACTCGCTCTGCCGCAGGTGGTAGCCGGCCTCAAAGGATCCGTAGGCCGTTCTGACTTGGGTGCAGCTTGCAAACTCTGTGTCTCTCAGCATCACTGTTGCCGGCAGGCGCAGCGATCTACTCGCTTTCGGAGAAGGAGGTGGATGTTGATGCCAAGGCCTGCTGTCCAGAGTCGCTCCTTGCCGAAGCCCGCCGAAGTAGTGCGTAGCTTCTTGGACCTTTTTCTTCTGACATCGAGACTTTGTTGTGCTCCCTGTGCCTATCGTGCATTCTGCCTCCGGCTATTGGCGTGTTGAGAAGTTTATTTGCCACTGGTGACACAGGCGGACCAACCATCCAAGGACGGATCTGGCAGATGTCCTCAGTAGTTAGGACCATGGTTGTGTTTGATTGTCTAGCTTGGCCAGCTAGGCAAGCTGGTAGCACAATCCGGGCCACTTGATGAGTGCATCAAGAGTGCGGATCTCAGCCGGAACCAGGCTCCACAGGTGTACCGGTCAGCTCGGCACCGCAGGCCCTGCGCAGTTCCTTGAGACTGCGTTTCAAGCTGTGAAGGAGGGCAAGGTCCGTGTCCCTGCTGCCACATCACATGGTGTGATTTGTTTTTGCCGTCCACCCCTACGATCACGCTTACTCACAACTTGTCCAATGCCAGGGTGTGCCCGGAATCGCTCGCTGCTTACATTGGGGCAGTCGTGCATGGCATTGAACCTCGCACCACCGCCCAGTCCTTTCGAGGTGGAGTTTGCCGTGATCGAAGAGAACTCAAGTGGTGTTAAGACCAAGGACCTTGCAGAGAGCACGGAACGAGGGCTGGGGCATTCCTGCAGTGTCTGGTGGATCGATGTTGAAAGTGAAGTCATGCGGCAGCATGAAGCAGGAAGTCATTGACACCGACGGAAATGGCACACTGAAGGTCCCTCCGTCAGCAAAGTTGCAGGGGGCCTCTCTGAAGTTCGCCAGATCGCCAAGGTCAACTACATGCACCATGTCTTTGACATCGGATCCGGCACGGCTGCCTCAACGACGTACAAGGAGCTCAGCATCCGTACCACAGCTGTTTTTTTTTCGCGTGGTAGAGCGAGGATGAAACCTACACCACGGCATTGAGCGCTTGGCACACGAAGGTGCTGCAGTGACATCCCAAGGCTTGGTCCGGATTTCGACTGGTGCCAGGTGCACTCAGGACCTTTGATCATCGAAATGTTCAACGAGTGCGCTCCCTCATCTGACTACATCGGTGTTGACAGTATTTGCTGATTGCTTCTTGCATCCCTGGTAGCAGGTCATTCCCTGTACGCCATGCTGGTGAGGACGTCGTCAGAAACCTCGCGCCTCAGGCAGGGCGGAATGCCTGCTGTTGAGATGGGTTCTGCGAAATCCTTCCTGCCAGAGCATGTTGGGGCATCACAGCATGCAGGAATTTCAGCTGGATGCCTTAGAACTTCGGATGTCCGGGCAGGTGGAGCAGGTCCTCGCTAAGGCAGTGGAGGAGACGGCGGCGAGCGGCTAAGGCTTGGAAGTGAGCTGTCCTTGGAGAAGTTGTTTGTGAGCTTTGGCTCGTTGAGTGGAGGCTGCCCCGAGTGATTCACCAGATCGTTTGACGTTGGAATTTCGAAAAGCGGGTGCAGTTTTTCGTCTCCGGTAGCTCTGGCTCTCGCAGACAAGTGTGGGAGCAACTCAAGTTTTGAAGGGGGAGGGAATTTTGTCCGTATGTGATCAACACGAGCCTCTTTGATTCGGTTAAAGCCCGCTCTCCTGTTCTGAGACCGAGTCGCTTCGCCGATTCGGACCAGGCTCAGGTCTCCTTCAAGGCCTTTCAAAGGAATCCCTCCGTGAAAAATCCATGGATTCTGTGCTTGATTTTGCTGCCGGAAGGGCTTCTTCTAGAAATGCCCTGTTGGGAGGATGGACATGTAGCCGAAAGCGCTGCAGCAAGTCCTATTCTGGCTCCGGCGGAAATTATGCTGGGCCTAGGTATACGTCATGGACTGGCCATATTGTTCGAAGTCCGACTTCTAGGCTCTGTGACTGCAACTTCTGCTTGTGATTCTGGGCTCGAGAATTGAAACATCGGAGCACTGCTTCTGATACCAGGTTTCCCAGTAGCTTCTTAGATGGCATTGACGTCATGTTGCCGGTTATCAGAGGAGAACCCTGCAGTGCAGCCAAGTTGGCGCACCATTCTCCACACAGCCTGGTCACATGCTTCTCATGTGCCCAAACCTCATCAGTTAAGCCGGTTCTGGCTCTGCTAGCGGCATCGAGTGCACAGCTGAAATCCTGGCGGTTTGCGAGCCTGGCGAGCCATGCGAAGGGGTCCGGAAGGCGACGTTTCGGGAGAATCCAGGCACTTCCTGGTGCGGAGGCCGCGGAGGTTGTGGAGCTGCGAGCAGCTGTGCCTCCTCGAAAGCTCGTCGTCATATCAGGTTCTCCGGAATGGACAGAACGTACGGGGAGA